TTCATATATTTTTAATTATTTCCTTAGAATAAATTCCTAGAAGTGGAACTATAGGTCCAAAATGTGGACACAATTAAGGAGTTTTGACTCCCATTGCAAAATCACCCCTTAAAAAGTCAATGCCAATTTTCTTCCTCCATGGCAATACAGGGGTAGCCTTCTCCCCAAATATTACCATCTTTTCTGATTTTTTTCTGATTTGATAAGCAAAACAAAATCATCACTTTTATTTGTGCTTCTTTAGTGACCAGGGAAGATAACGTCATTCAGATTCACTTATTGTCTATTTATTATTATTGAGTGATCTACTTGTTGATATGTCCTGTGCAGTTTTTCTACTAGGCTCTTTTGCTCCAAATTTTAAGAACTATTTTCAAAAGATTAGCTCTTTTTAACTAAGGTTAATGTGTGTCAYTGTTTTTTCAGTTTTGTATAAAATGTTTATGGTCACAAAATTTAAATTTGTATATATGTTCTCAACAACAAAATTGCATTCTGAATTTCAAATAACTGACTTGTTAATGGGCTTTTAAAATCCGTATTACCCACTATACCTAGGTATTTTATCATTTGCCTTAATATCTTTTCTGCATGTAAACCCCTTGAAGGCAGAAGTAGGACATCCTTTTGTTTTTGTTTTTTTTTTTTAATCCCCTATAACAACCAGTATACAGCTCAGAATACAGTGGAGCTCAAGACCGTCAGCTTGGGATAAAAAAAAAAAWATATGTTGTCTGGGGATTTGCTTTGAAGCAATTCAGTTAGGGAGGAGAGACGAAAATGATGTAAAGATGAAACAGAATTGGCCACGTGTCAATCATTGTTGGAGCTGGTGATGGGTACATGGAGTTCATTATGTTATTATGCCTACTTTTTTGTGTTTTAAAAAATTTCCATAATCAAAGGTTTTTGTTTTTTTTTTTCTAAATGTGTATTTGATTGATTGGGCAACAAGAGAGGGAACTGCTGGGATAACAATGGTGATGAAAATGAAAGACACATGTATCGAGGGCACTTTTGAAGCACAAAATAGCACACAGACCCTGAAACCAGGCAGGCTGACTACAAACCCTTTCTGGCTCTGTGACCTCAAATTGTTATTCACTGCCTCTGAAACTCAGTTTCCTTTATGCATAAGGGTATTAATAACTACCTCAAAAAAGTCGTAGTGGGAGACTAATAGAAGGAAAACTCAGTGCCTAGCACTTGCTAGCACTCCATAAAGAGTCCCATCATTGTCATTTGGAGAGGCACACGCTTGACAAACTGCAGCCAGCACCCTTCCATGATGGCTGGGATTTCAGTTAATCAGCTTGGGCACCAGACAGTCACTTGGCAGGGGATTTGGTTAGGCCAGATGTCAGGAATTATGCTCTTGATACCCAGAAGAGAAAACAGAACAGATCACAGTAAAGGACAGAGCCTGTAGCTCCTGACTTAATAGGTCACCAAAGAGTCATAACTTCCCATCCAATCATGCCATCAAGAAATGATAGTGGAGCTGGGTGCTGTTGCACAACACCTGTAAACCCAGCAGCCAGGGAGGCTGAAACAGGAGAATCGTGAGTTCAAAGYCAGCCTTAGCAACTTAGTGAGGCCCTAAGCAACTCAGCAAGACCCTGTCTCTAAATAAAAAATAAAAAAGGGCTGAGGATATGGCTCCGTGGTTAAGCACCCCTGGGTTCACCCCCCCCCCCAGTATAGAAAGAAAGAAAAGAAACAAACAAGAGTGGAAATGCCCTTTCTAAGTAGCTTCAAACTTTGACCAAACACTGGCATTACGCAGGGAGCTCAAAAAATACGAGGCCTGGGTCACACTCCCAGAATTTGATTTAATGGTCTGGGTGAGACATGGACATGGACTAGGGTTTTGAGACTTTTAAGAATCTAATGTGATCTCAGGGCTGGGGGAGTTGTAGCTCAATGGCAGATCACTTGCCTAGCACGTGTAGGGCACTGCGTTGGATCCTCAGCACCACATAAAAATAAATTCAAAAAAAGAAAGGCATGCTGTCCATCTACAACTACAAAAAAAAATTTTTTTTTAATTACAAAGTATCTAACGTGATCTAATGTGCAGTTTTAGTATCACTGCTACAGGAGGCAAATGAAGTATGTGTATGTGTGAGAGGGAGTTGGGATCCGGCCTAAGGAGGAAAGAGGACCAGGGGAAACAAAGGAAGAGAACAGAAGCCATAGAGTCCCATCTGAACCCCATTAAAGTCAACTCAGTCATGTGGTCTCAAGCTGTGTCCCACACCAGACAAACCCAATCCCATTAGACCCCATCATCCCCTCCATAAACTTCAAGAGAGTGTGTAATAATTCCCAGGGCTAAAATATGTTGTTATTAACACCAGGATGTGTACATGTCAATATTCTAAGGAACATTAACGAAATGCAGCTAGACTCTGGGTTTTGGTCTAAGGAGGGGAAAAAAAAAAAAAAAGTCCAGCTAAGTGATGACGAAGGGGAGGGAAAGAGAAAAGCATTTTGTCGCCCGCACTCCAGCCGCCTGTCAGTGGGACTAAAACACCCTCAAAGAGGCAGTCTCATTTTATAAAGCTATTGCAGCATTTTTGATCAGGAGGAAGGCACATCCATTCAATCACTTGAGCTGGGATGGGCTGTTGTCTGGCTATCTGTCTGCCCACCAGGGTGAGCCAGCTGGGCCTGAGGACACGTGGCAGTCCAATAATGGAGGGGTACCCAGCGTCTGTATAACCTCTGCTGGGCTCCCTGGGCACTCTCATTTAGCCATTCATCCTGGACTCATCTGGAAGTTCTTTTCCTTCAGCAAACACCACCTGGTCTGCCTGGCCTCACCAAAACAAAAGCTGGCCAGCAGGCTCTCCCAGGCAGCAAACATTTCAGAATCAGRAGGACAGGGGTCAACTGTCCTCATGAGCAACACACCAAGATTGCACAAGCCTAGAGAAGGCAGAAAACAACCTCTGTGGACTCTGCCCTCCTCTCAATCTCCTCTACCCCCTCTCATCTGAGAAGGTCTGAGTTCCTCCCCCAGACGTGAAGCTTAACAATGCAGTTCAAAATATATACCAAAGATTTCGTACATTCTTTTTACTAAAATAAATAATTAAAAACTGATTTCTACTTTGCGCATGTACAAATACGCAATAATGAATCCCACCATTATATAAAATATCACTTGTAATCCCTAAAAAAAAAAAAAAGTTGAGAAATTCAAAGAGTTCAGCAATTTCCAAACTTGGGGAGTTTCAATGAAAGATCTTGGGATTTTTGTTTTCTTTTTTTCTTTAACTGGCATCATTCATAAAATCTTAGGAAGACCTGAATAGTAGAACCGTAGTAGAGACAGGAATCATGATGATAATGATGACATTTATTTGGCATTCATTTGTTCCAAGTGTTTTACATGTGTTCACTCATCCAATCCCTCATCAAAACCTCACGAGGGAATCTATAATAATAACCATTAACAACGGTAATGATAATAGTAATACATAATAAATACCAGAGTAAGAGTAATACATCATATATGACTTAATGGTAATAGTAATATAGAACATATGTATAACACATACCAATGGCAGAGATAATCATCTCATTTTTAAAGTGAGATTTTTAATAGGTAATAATCATCACCTCCCATTTTTCAGATAAAGACCCGGAGTAGCTGGGTAACTTGCCAGCATAGTGAGGCTGGCCTGGCACCCAGGCAGGCTGGCTCCAGGGGCAGCACACGGCCCATAGCCCCAGGCTGCCTCTGTTGAAACTGCTAGTTCTGAGACCTCTGGAGGGCTCTGGGCTTGAACCCCGGTTCTCCACTCCATGTCCCACTGCTGTCCCCCCACCCATAAGTGGGTTTGTGGTAGGTGTAAAACAAGGAAGTGAATAAGGAGCACCTCCACCAGGATTGGCAGACACGGTCAGTTTAGCCACTGCTCCGGTCTGCCGCGGTCAACTGGAAAACCTTTATCATATTGATRTGCAATCCGCACCCCACCACCCCTCCACATTTCTACCCAACAGCACTCAGTCTGAAACCAGTCATCCCCTAACCCRGCCCAGAAAAGAAACCTGAGACCTCTCAGACCAAGAGACAGCCTACATCCTTTGCCCATTGATCCTGTAATAACAGGAAAGCTTTAAATCCCTGAAGTCCTCCAGACCCCAGCTCCAGGACAAGGACTCCCCCAGTGATGCTCTATTGGACAAGGAGAGTCGCAGGCAGGGGGACCATCCCCAATCATGCTAAGCCCACCCTGTCCAATGACCTTCCCCATAGCACCTACATCCAGTTGGCATGTGTCCTAACTCTGAGAATCCTCCTGCCTCCCAGCCATAAGCCCCTGTGTAGCAGAGGCAACCTAGAAATGTCCCTAAGGAGCACTTTATTACCCCCCTGCTGTTGAGTTTCAGAAGCAGTCTGTGCCTGTGTCAACAGAGCCAGTTACCTTTACACCAAGAACTAACCTGAGGACCATGTGGGATGAGAGGTGGGACCACCCAAAAAGAGATCTTCCAGTCTGAGTGTACGTACACTCATGCATGCCTGTGCACACGAGAGCACAAACACTCCAGGGGCCACAGTACACTTTTTGCTCAAAGAGGGCTCTGCTTTGTTCAAGGACGGGGTAGGAAACAGGGGAGTGCAGAGGAGTAGTAATAAATAGTGAGGGGAATACCAAGGTTGCCCCTGGAAACTGGCAGGGATAAGAAAAAGTAATCAATGCAGGTCTGGTCCTAGGAGGAGACGGCCAGCAGGGAGGATGGGGACCAAGCCATGCCAGTTTCCTGGCTCAGAGTTCCATGCATCTTGTCAGGGCCAAATGCCAGTTGGCAAGAGGCGGCATGGAGGCTCAGGCGGGGGTAGGCAGCATGCAGGGGAGTCCAAGAGCCACTCACTCAGCCATTTCTCAGAAAATGAAGGTGTCCAGCAGCCCCCACACTCTCAGGACACCTCCCCTTCTGCCCCCATCCAGCACACAGCCCAGGAGACTTGCCCAAGGCCTCACCTGGGTAAAGGAGCCATCTTCACCACACTCTGGGACAAACACAGCCTCCTGAGGCTTCTTGGCCTGCTCCAAGGCTTGAGCCCGCTCCAAGCGACACTTGCTCTGGCCAGCATCTAAAAGGCGAGAGGAGCATATTTCATATTTCACTTGGATTTCAGCCTGAAGCCATGGCACAAAATGGCTGCCCACTGGCAGGAACGCAGAGAAGCCCCTTCCACTAGGGGAGAAGCCCACGCCACCAACTTGTCTGACAGTACAAGGGCCAAGACTAGTGACAGCTGATCAGCCTTAGCTTCCTCTCAATGTTATTCTTAAAAATGAGTTGGGGGCGGGGGGGCACGGCTCAYGTTTATAGTAGGTCCCACTATTTTTTTCTCCCAAGTAGCCCTATCCTTACCTAGGAAAAAAGTATTCCACTTCTATTACTTTTTCCCTAGGTTTATTCTAAAAAGAATAAGCCCAAGCAGTCTCCAAGATGTTTTATAGTTCAAGAATTGCTAGCACTTTCTTTTTTTTTTAATGGTTTTTTTTTTAATTGTAGACAGTTACAATGCCTTATTTTATTTTTATGTGGTGCTGAGGATCGAATCCAGTGCCTTCCACATGCAAGGCGAGTACTCTACCACTGAGCTATAAGCCCAGCCCCTGCTAGCACTTTCTTTAGAAAAGCAAAAGCTCTAGGGCAGCCTACTCGGACTTCTATATAATTCTCTAAGCAATCCAGAGCCACAAATTCAAATAGGACTCAGGAAAGTGATATAAATCGGGTACAAGAAGAAGGGCATTCAGCTGGGTGCAATGGCACAGGCCTGTAATCCTAGAGGCTCAGGAGGCTGAGGCAGGAGGATCATAGGTTTAAAGCTAGCCTCAGCAACTTAGCAAAACCCTGTCTCAAAATAAAAAATAAAAAGGGCTGGGGATATGTGGCTCATTGATAAAGCACCTCTTAGTTCAATCCCTCAGTACCAAAAAAGGGGGGGGGGCCTCCAGTCATGTGCTGCTTTGTGGAAACACACACCTAATATTACCAGAAATTTCAATTTTGGAAAAGAAACATAAAAAGGAAAAAACTTTTTTTTGAATACCCTAGTTTCTAAATATTGTCTCAAATGTTTGTAATGTTTTAGAGCAGATTTAAAAAATAAAATAAAATAAAAACACATCCTGCGGTCAACAATTTGAAATTCCTATTTAGGGGTCATCAGTGAAGCTTTGCATAACTGTTTTAAAACAAAAATAAACACAACAAAGGACCAGACASAGAGCAACACATCTCTCTAAACCCTAGCCTGGTGGCTGCGACTGAAAGACAGGAAAGTGCTCATTCGTCCAGGTGGAGCTTCTTCCTTCCCTTTTCTACTCCTGATGTTAGGGGTAGAGAGACAGGACAGCAAACCAGAGGAACAGAGGCATGCTGAGCCCTTGCCCCAACCCCACCACAGTGACTGCACCAGGCAGAGACCTGTGATCCCAGCAGCCTCCAGTGGACTCACCTTTGCACCGCCCCCGGTGGACCACACCCAGGTTCGGGTCTCGGCACTTGGCTCGCTGGTACTCACACATGGACTCGTAGGACCTGCCGTCGGATGCGCAGATGGGTTTGGGTTGAGTCCTGGTGCAGTGGAGGTTGCACTGAGGGTCACGGTCGCTTATGAGAAACTAGATTGGGAGGAAAAAAGGCAAAGGGGCATAGAAATTACTTTTGCAAAAAAAGTGGAAGAAAATCCATGACTTTCTGTACCAGGCGGCCCTTGGGAAGAAGGTCTCAAATAAACACAACAAAGGACCAGACAGAGAGCAACACACCTCTCTAARCCCTAGCCTGGTGGCTGCGACTGAACCCTACAGGCAAAGGGAACAGAGCCAACACAAAGTCTAACCAAAGAAGCCATCCTCTATACCCTAAGAACCATGATGTCGAACATGTACTGACCATGAACAGTCACTGCAACAAGTAATCCACAGGCCAAGTCCCAGTGGACATGACAACAACCCAGCTATGTGCCCAACGTCACATAGCTATGAGGAGTGGATGCTGAACATGAACCTAGATCTGCAGGAAATAAAATCAAAGCTTTAACCTCTGGGATGTTTGGCTTCTCCACCCATGTAGACAACCACTAAACCTCAAATCCAGAACACTTTCACTCTCCAAATTCCATCTTTGGCAAGTCTTACTTATTAGATGATGGTATTGAGCCCCAAATCTAGAACTCTCCMATTTCTGCTCACAGTTCTCTGGCAGAATTACAAGTTAAGTGACTTTCTGTGAGGAATGTATTTCCTGATTTTAACAGCAATAATAATAATCAGCTTGGGAAATACTGGGTTAAACAGGTTTTTTTGTTTGTTTGTTTGGTACAGAAATTCTCAGAATTAAAGATAGAGCAATTATATGCTAGTCCTCCTACTGAGTTATGTAGTCACACATAAATATAGACTGGCCTCACTGTCCTCAGTAACATGCTTCAGCAATAAAAGGGTGACATCTGGGACTTCTGCACCAGGTCATGTGAAGCCTGGCAGTTTCCTCCTATCTTATATCACTCTGGGGGAAACTAGCCAACATGTAAGAAGCCTAACAACTGTAAGACCACCATATTATGAGGAAGCCCAAGTCATCTGGTGTCACAACCACATGGGGAAAGAGATGCCCAACAAACCCAGGAACACAGCCTTCAAATGAGTCCAGCCCAGCTGTCAACTGACTGCAATCAAGAGACGAAAATAAGTCATTGCCTGAGAGACCCCAAGCAAGAACCACCCAGCTGAGCCTAGTCAACCAGAGAACTGAMAGAGATAACAATAAACTATTGTTTTAAGCCATTAACTTTTGTAGTAGTTTGTTGCATAGTGATCATAAATAACTAGATCAAGGAACATGCACGATGTCTCTTCCAAACCTCTTTGTAGCCATGAAATTCATTAGTGAACCCCATGTTAACAGTGGCAGAATGCAGGTGGAGAACAGTAATCATCCAGTACAATCCACAATACCCTGGGCTCACTCTGTGGGGCTGGAGGGGGTGATGCTTGGCAGTGTCAAGAGCACAGCTGTGGCCACCTGCAATGCTGAAGCCAACCACATGATGACACCAAGCTCACAGAGGTCTCAGAGGTGTGAACACAGCTCTGCTTCAGATATCTCTGCAGACCCACTGTGTGAAGCAAACAGTTGAGAACTTGTCCAGAAGAGCAGAGAAAGGTCTAGAGGCAGTGCCACACCCTTCAAGGGAAATCTGGAAACACAAGCCCTCTCCTCCGCCCCCCGCCAAATCTCGAGAGTCTGAGCCAGTCCATGACTCCTCAGAGCACATCTCAGCAGTAAGGCCAGATCCCCCCAACCCCACTGCCACCCACTACTACCTTGACTGTCACACCCAGGAGCTGGGCTCAACCTGTGCCTCATCAGGACAGATGGGGCAACTCAGTCCCTCTTCAAAGACCCTGGGCTCCCACACATCACAGGCTAAACTGAGTCCTGCCCAAAGGTCAGAGGGAAATATCCTGATGGCTGTCATGAGCACATCATTGGATAGAGCCTAGTATCCTGGAGTAAAAAGAGAGCAACTGCAAAGTCCCATCAAGAGGAAGCCCACTCAGTCCCCAGCTGCTACACCAAGGAATGAGCTAACAGAGACAGTGTGGGAGGCAGGGTGTCCACACATCAACCCCTGTGTGGGATCTTTGACCTTGACTCCCCTTGGGTTGCCTAGCTTAAAACTCTTGACTAGCATCTCGCTGTCCTTGGGACCTCCACACAGCATCCAGGCCTGGCAGAATCTGACCTGGGTCCCTCCCTGGCCTCCCTCTGACTCTGTCCCCTGTTCCTCACTTGTGCACACAGTAGCTATTTCCTTACTACAGTGAGCTCCACAGCTCTGCCTTCTGCACCCCTCTCATCCTGCACTGGGTCTGGGCTCACACCAACTCTTCTGGGAGGCTTTCCCTGACTCTCAGGTGAGGATGGTGCCCTCAAATAATCTCTCATACCTCTCTTTCTTTGTGGCTCCTAACATGTGTGGTGATGAACTGATTTGTGTAATTTGATTAACAATGTAACTCCCAAATCTGAATTTCCAGATGACAAGGATAATGTCTATTTGACCTATAAACACATCCCCAGCCTCCAGCCCTTGGTTATTTGTGGGATGAATGCATTCATGCAGTGGCACTTCCTGTGCAACATCACCTCAAAACCTGCTGGTATGAGGTGACAGGCCTGGTGTCCAAGGATCCTGCTCTCTAGGATCCCCTGAAACCACTCCTCCCTGCAGTGCTTTGAKGCTTGCCCTTCTCCAACCATGTCCTCTCCTCTGCTCACCCTATGGCATTATGTGGTGGGCAGAGGTAACCCAGAAGGCCCTGTCTTTGCCCCATTCCTGAACCAGAACCTTATCAAAAATATCTCCCAGTTGGGCATGGTGGTGCATTTTTATAATCCCAGCAACTCAGGAGGCTGAGGTAGGAGGATCACAAGTTCAAAGCCAGACTCAGCAACTTAGAAAGGCCCTAAGCAACTCAGCAAGACCTTGTCTCAAAATAAAAAATAAAGGGCTGGGGATGTGGTTCAGTGGTTAAGCCCCCTGGGTTCAATCTCACAGTGGCCTTGAAGCACTTGGGAGGGTGAGTCTATCTCATCCAGAGATTTAGCATTTATTATTGGGCCCACATAGGCTTTTAGTAACCAGCTTCTGATTCTGTGAATTCACTTTTGCAGCTGGCTAGGTGTTTCTGTTTGTGGTGATATTTTTTAACAACGAAAGGCAGTGTTGCCTAGGGGTTGGAAGCATGGCTTTGGAGCCAGGGAATGGGTATCATCCCCAGCAGGACACATACAGGCTGTTTCTCCTTGGGGAAGTTACCTAATTTCTCTAGGCTTTAGTGTTCTCATCTGTAAAGTGTGAACACTTACATACCTAGCCTCCTAGGGTTATTATGAAAATTCAATTACCTATCATGCCATAAGTCATAAATAAGTTCTTACCCATCTTCTTTCTTTGGAATTTAAATAGTGATTTGTTTGTTTGTTTGTTTTTAGGAGAACCCCCCCCAAAAAGGAGGGCGAGAAAAAGACAARGTTTCTTTTCAAACTGTAGAGGTGGCCCTGTTGTCTGTTCTTTAGCTCACGGAAGGGAGCCTCAGGCGTCACTGTGGCATTGAACTACAAGCCATAAATCTGGTTTGGAAATGGCTCTCTCTGCGCCAACAGAGACTCCAAGGCAGCTGTGCCAGAGACCCGCTCAACAACAAGAGGAGCACTCTGTGCKCGGACAGACAGGTCAAAGAGCCCACAGAAGACCCACCTACCCAACACACAGGAATGGCTCTCAGCTTTGGAAGGGTTCCCAAGAGTCCTGTCTAGAGACGGCTGGCCCCTGGGGACCTGTAAAAAGTTCAGTCGCAGCACAGGGCCATTGCTAAAGACTATCTTCAGTCTACTATGGTGTCTCATTTTCATCTGTTTGGGGAACTGAGTGTATTTGTGATTGCTTTCAGAAACGAGCAATGAGCTCTATAAAACAGAGCCTCATAGAAGAGATTAATTACTCTGGGTCCACAAATACCAAGGACAAAGCTATTCTCCARTCTGTCCATCCGTCTGTTCCTCCACTCTGTATCCAGTGAGTGGACGTCAACAGTGAGCCCAGCATGCACAGACCCAAGAAGCACACAACCAATATGGCCCCTGCCCTCCATGAGCTTACAACCTAGTATGGAGACCCCAAGCAAACGCTACCACACAGCATGTTAGCAGAAACCACAGCCATACTAAGAGGGGACATAATCCTAAGCACTCTACAATGTGACAAACCATACAGTTCCATAGAACTTTCCACAAAGATGGAAATGTTTATATCCCTCCTGTCCAACACAGTAGCCACAGACCACAGATGGCTATGAAGCACCGAGCTATAGCAAACGCAAATGAGGAACCAAACATTTAGATGTGTTTAATTGTAGTTAATTTTAACTTAAATGACCATGTACCAGCTAGAGGCTACCATATGCAAAAGCCCATTTAGCAAGTAAATAAACCAAGAGGAGAGGGCGGGTGGGCCTCAACCAAGTTTTTCCTGGTTGAGTCAGGTGAAGACCGATTGGACTAACAGGAAAAAAAGAGCAGWTCCTGAGAACAGTTTCTGCATTTTGAAACCAGACAGCAAATCAGTCCATTACTTACAAGTCAACGGCTAAGTGACCCCAGGAGGTTGTCACAGTCCACATGAAGTCATGAGGGTCTTGCAGRGGACAGGGGGACAGGAGAGAAGTCCTCAGCATCAGGCTGAGACTGTGGTCAGTTCTCTCAGAACACAAGCAAAACTCAAAGAATTGGAGTCACCCTGCTGGGACATGACCCCTAGATCACAGAAGTCTGTTGCTGTGGACTCAAGAGCAATCGTGATTGGTGGAAATTTCTGGTGTTGGGCAGGGCCAGGCAGTTTCCCCCACAAGCCAAACACTGAGCCATTTTCCTCTAGGGGGGAAATGATGTTTTCATAAAAATCCCTACATAGATTCCCTTCCTTCTTCCTAACCAATTGACAATAAAACAAAATAATAATGTCAAATATGATTGCCTAACAAGGAAGCCAAACAAAGAGCACCAGGACAATTGTGCATCTGCAGTTGTCTCTCCCACCCCTTCTCCTTGGGGA